CAAATAATCAGAAGACCGTATTTGAATGCTGTTTTTTTTTTTTTGATCATCAAGAAGTTGATGTCTGCTGTTTAGATGTTTGATGAAATAAAGCTATGAAAGAAGAGTTTTTGTGGTAAAGAGGTTCACTACAATACAGAGCAATTTTTCTGCTATAGATTTGACATTTTGATTTCTTACACCTAATCTATTACTTTTAATTTTTCATCAGTCAAAAAAATGAAAAAAATTTTTCTTTTGATTCATTGATTTATCTTTGGTGTTAATGCTATTAGCAGTTCTAAATTGATGGCAAAAATTATAAGGCTGTTTACGGGTACTCCAAAATCAGCTGTTTTGCTGTGTGAGAGCAGTTTAAGTAACCTTTGGAATTAATTATTATTTATTGCAACATTATAATCTCAGTCCGTCTAAAGTGGTTAGTTGCTATGGATGCATACAATTACGTACTGCTTCGTTTATTTTTGAACATCACTTTTCTTCTTTACCACTATTTTTTATGCTTTTATGTTTTTTTTTTCTTCTCTACATTTGCTCATATTTTCACAACGGGATACCTTTAACTTTTGATATTGGAAAATTGCGATATATTTCCATCTTTCCTCCCATTACACACTTTTTTCAAAGCATATTTTAGACTCGATTAATAGCTGTAAAGTGGGGTTCATGCTGCATGATGATTAATTAAAGATAACTTCATGAAAAACAGATTTAATTGAGAGCTTTTCGAGTAACGATGGTTAAAATTTACTCATCTTTGTAAACAATTTTACCACTATTTTTCCCATCTCCTCACCATAGGTTTTGAAATCTTGTTGTTTGGTTTTTAGTTGTTCCTCGAAATTCAACTATTTTTCGTTGTAGATGGACGAAATTGAGTACGATTACACGAAGGAATTGTTGCCAGAAGATGCACAAGCACTTTTCAACAAACGTACCAGTGAAATTGCGGCCGAGGTTAGTTCTATACTGTTATTTTAAAGTTGCTTAGAGAGAGTGAAGTACTTACTATGAAGTTATTCTGTAGCTTTTAACATACAGCTTTTTTTATTTTTCTTTAAAAATCTGTCACTTAGTGGCGAGTTTCCTTCTGAAAGTCCAATAGATGGTCTGTGTTGTTTGAAATTTAATTTTTTCAGATTTTTAAAAAGAGTTTAGATTGAGAGCCTTAGACAGAAATTTTTTTAATGACAGATGTCGTTTAAAACCAAAAGTTGCCAGCTCCTAAATTTTTTTCTCCAGCAGTTATTACGCAGGACGAAAGATGATTTTTAGAAAACTGTAATACTACAATTTTTTTTTGAGTGTAGTTGCTCATGTACAGTCTTAAGAGTTAAGAAGTGTTTTGGGAAGTATTTTTGGGCAGGGGTTGAATAGGTGGAAACCTCCACTGACTGCTTTTTTGGAGCGCGATTGTTGTTTTTGTGACGTTATTGGGAATGTCAGATTAGGTGGATTCGTTCGGAAAGCCGAAAACAAAAAAGTTTTTTAATCCCTTAGGAGATTCATATACTAGATTTGCACCGTTCGCTCAGTTACCCACAGAGCATCTCAAGATAAGTGAAACAGGGACTAAAAATTGTAAAGATGATGTATTACAAAAGAATATTCAGCTGTGTTTATAAACAGTGGTTTGCTAACGCAGTTGTGGCATTCGTTGTCTAAAGTGTAGCAATAAGTGAATCGTATGATTCGATGGTTGCTCGATGGTTCCAAATAATTTTTTGAGGCTTGGTGACAGATTAGGTTGATTAAACTTGAAAATTGACATTTGTTTTCTATATCTGAAGAACTCAAAAATAACCTGTGTCAATAGTGAGTGAAGTTTGCGTCTTTTTCCTAAGGGTCACTTTCTACCGCTTTCTAAGGGATATTTTGGAAATTTGGTGATCAAGGTAAGTGATGCACTGTGAGAAAAAATATGAGTCCTTGATTTACTTTCTTTTCAAGTGCTACATTTAAAAAAAGGAGATTGTTTTTACAGTTGATAATTCAGCTTTATGTCGATTATTTATTCTCAAAATCAGCCCTCATTTTCAGGATCGAGCTTATGAAGATCGTTCTTCCCCAATGACGGTTCTCCATGCTGGGTTGGTTTTTGTTATTATTACCTTTTCCATTTTTAGCTTGTGTTTTTTAAATTTTTCGTAGAAATGTGCTAAAATAATACATACTTACAGTGATATTCAGTCAGGGGAGAATGCAGTTGATCATCTTGAAAATTTGGACGAAGATGAAGGTATTTAAACTTAATGTTTTGTAATTTGTTATCAACTAAGACTCATTGGGCACTTTTTATTGAGTGTTTAATCCCTAGCCTTGGAGTGCTTAAGGCACTTTTTGCTATTTTACTCGTGCCTTCTTCCTAAGAATATACTAACATGTATAAGACTATAAAGGCTTTCAAATTAAAGCCCTGGGGGATTTTTTGTAAGAGCATATGGAGGGGTAATACCTGAAGTTTCTTCGTTTTCTCAAATCACTTTATTAATATTTGTTTCAGTATTCGAGTTGGCTGTCAATCACTTGTGAAGCATTTCGCGGTATGTTCTTCGTATTATAAGTCGTAAATCACGAGTTTGCTTATTTTAGGAAAATTCAGCAAAAGGAACTTCATTAGTGTATCGGAAGTCTATAAACAGAACAAGGACTTGCGTGCTCTTGTGTTTCGCTTAAAAATGGACTTATTTTCCTTGAAAAAAGAAATTCCCAATTTGCAGAACGCTGACGGGGCTGATTTAGCGATGGAGGTACTTATGAACTGTTTGCAAGTCTATTTTGCTTCTACATTATATAACGGAACATGAGGCTTTTTTTCTAGCTTGTAAGGTGCAAAGCTCAATTGAATGAAGAGCAGTGTGAGAAAAAAAACTTAGATGGAAAGCTACAAAGTTTTGGACGAGAGTTTGAAGCTTTTAAATCGACATATGCAGTGGAAAAGGAGAAGTGGTGTAAAGAAAAAGAAGATTTAATTGCTGAACGTGAAAAACTTTTGACGCAGGTCAGCGAGGTTTGTTTTTTTTTTTTGCACCTAAGTTGAATTCTGCTAAAATTATGAATCGTTGTATCTGACATCCCCTTCACAACTTTTAGAAGTTAAGCTCGTTTTTTGCTTTGGTTAACTCTTTTTAGTTTGAATTAACTTACAATTTGTCATTCTCTTTTTTCTTCCGTTTTTTTGAAATACTTTTTTTGAAATACTCTCAAACCACTTCATAAAATTTATTCGATTTTCTCTTACTTGATCTTTAAATATGTGAATTACAGCTGAAAAAAGAAGTCGATTCTCGAGTCAACAGTTATGCTGGCGTTCGAGAAGAAACGCGAGAAGTACGTTCTGTCAGTACATGTGAAAGCGACTTGAGCCAGGGAGAGTTCTCTATACTCTCCGAACGAGACCAGTAAGTTTAAATTACGTCTTCCAGACTTATTCAGTTTAGAACAGTAAGGTTTCTCTTGATTTCCCTTTAAAATGCGAAGTTCTTTTAGACATTTAGAGGAAGTAAGAACTGCGATGTTTCGGCAAAAGGCTGAAGCAGAAGAAGCGCGAAAAAACTTTTTAAAGAAGATTGATGAGCTTGAGGCAGATCTGAAAAAGAAAGAGTGGAGCATTACAATGATTAATAGGGAGCGTGAAGAGGAAAACCAGCGTAAAGTTGAGGTTGAGAATGAATGTTCACGCATGCAGGATTTGTTAGAAGAGCTAGAACGGTCGAAGGAACTACTAAATAAGGCAAGCACTCACGTTTATAACAAGAAGGATGACGAGTCTTGATTAGTTATATAGCATTTTATAGTTCACACAAGCCAAGGTTTGGAAATCGAGTTTTTGGAGACGTAGGTGACAGGCTAGTAAAATATTTCAGAAAATGGAAGAGAATCAGGCTAACTTTGAAACTGAATTGCGAAAGAGGGACAGAGCAATCAATGCACTTTTGGGTTGCTGTAATAAGTCTAGATCTTCTAATTTACAAGAGGTCTGAACTATTATATGGATTCAGTCATAATTTTTGGGAAATCACTGAAATTCTACGC